TGTTATTTTAATGGCATTTTTTTCAGATTAAGAAGAAAATACATGTTTATTTTAGAAAAACTGGTAATTCTTGAAAGCACAAACATTAATTCCCATCCCCACTCTAGAGTTAAGCATTGCTAATATTTGGTGTAGCAACCTTATCCATTTTCCTGTGTGTCTATCTGTATTACCATTCATCTATATATCTATAAAGCATCTTTTTTTAGTCAAAATTAGAATCTTATTGCATATACTATTCTATAATCTGTCCCTTTCCTCCTAACTACCACATTCATCTTTTCTCGTGTTGTTCAACATTCTTCTACATGGGACTTAATGGAAGCATAGTATTCTTTTTATAAAAGTACCATATCTATTCAACCAGCTTATACTTAGGTTCTCTTTCAGTGTTTTAAATACAATAAATAATGTCATCATATATGAATTCAAAGATAATATTTTGTGTACAACTCTATTTTGGGGGAGGCAAAATTCTTAGGAATGCACTTGAGGGTCAAAGGGTATGGCTGAATTGCCTTTCTTAAAGATTAGAACAATTTACATTCCAACCAGAAGTATATGAGAGTGTCCATCACTCTACGCCCACCCAGACTTCATTTACACTGAGGATGTTTCTGTATAAGGCAACTCTACCAACTCCTGTGGTCCTTTCTGTATAATGCCATTTTGCCAGTTCCTATGGTCCTTTTGCACCAAAAAAATATAATAATAATAATTCAATGCTTTTGAGCATATAGCATAAAACCTAAGAACCTATTAGGAACCATTACATAATAGCCAGATTTACTTTCTACCTAAAAATACAACTTTTACCTTTAGTAGGGAATAACACATCCCTAAAAGTAGGTGAAGTTTTCAGCCATCTCCTCATCAGCCACTAATACCCTCACTACTGCAGTATTTTTCCCTATGGAAAATCTCTCTCCTGAACCTTACCCTCTTGGGAAGGGAAGGGAAGAGCAGGCCAACATTTGGTCAGAAGAGCGTGACTTGGGCTTTGCACTTCTGTAATTTCATGCCTTGTTACTATCATAAGCTTCTTCTAACTCCTGAAATTCACTTCTAATTTAGAAGGCAGAAAAGCATACCCAAGAATGTAAACATAAATACACCCTTCTTCCAATTCCAGAAACCAAGAAAATGATGATTCATGCTGTAGAATGGAATTTTTAAAAATTGGACATAAACACAGTTAGACTTTTCTCCATTGTTTGGAATAGGTAGTCACATAGCAGCGTGGATTTCACCTTCTAGCAAGCATTTTATTGTGTTTTAAAAATTTTTTATGGTTAAATAATTAATGGAAGGGAGATATGTATATGGAATGGGGGAAGGGGAAGAAAGAATCCTATGGTGTTGGGTTGGAATTAAAAATATACAAGTATGAACTCCTGATTTTTAAAAAATTATATTTCCTAGCTTTGTCCATGAAGGAGCTAGAAGCAATGATCCCCCAGTAGCAAAGAACACTCCGATTGCCCTTGTCTTAATTTCTAAATACATTCTTCTCTAAAAGGAACCAGGGCTCCTTTGAGAAATGGCAGATTCTAGAAATAGAGCTGGAAAGGTACAACATGGGCTTTGAACATCTTGTTATGCCATAAAGTAAGGAAGTACTCAAAAAATAATGGTGGCATGTCAGAAGTACACAGGAGTGTGCTCAAAAGTGCTCCCATGGACCAAATCTGGAACAATTTGAGCATCAAAATGAATAATATAGGGAATGTATATTCATTTAAAAAAACCCACCAGTTCGTGGCGATACTAAAAAGCAAAGGGGACCAGGATGGAGATGGAGAGCTCTTCTCTTACAGATGAATGCCAATTAATAAATGTAGAAGAAATGATAGAATTAGAAAATCACCGCTTAAGAATTGCTGTGGTAATAATTGATTCAGGCAAGAATAGATACTAAAATCATAGGATGACAGATTGTTGGGGAATGGGATATCCATAAATTCACAGAGCTGCTTATTAATTCCAAAAAGAAAAAGGGTAACTTTGCATTGGAGAAAACTTAATCAGATCACCAAATTTCACATGACAGATCATGCTGCAAGCTACACCATTGCTTCTTGTAATGTTCTGAAAGACACAACATCACTTCCATGGTTTTCATACCCAATGGTTTGCCCAGTTCCAAATATGAAGAAAAATGAGGTGATTCAAAATGAGAGATAGTTTGTGAAATAATAGGTTTGAAGTCTCCAACGACATCAGTGTCATGAGGGTTAAAAAAAAAAAAGACTGGGTGATTGTTCCCCAAATATATAAAAGTAGACTAAAAAGACTTGCTAACTATGTGATTTGTGATTGGATCCTGTTAGGTGAGAAAGTGTCTTTATTCTCAGGAGACATATGCTTAATGTATTTAGGGATAAAGTTTCATGAAGTTTGTAACTTACTCTCAGAAAAGAGAGACAGCAAATATAGCAAACGTTAACATTTGGTGAATCTACGTAAAGGGTATATGGATACTCATTGTTCTATTCATGTAAATTCTCTGTAGGTTTTAAGTTTTAAGAAATAAGTCAGAAGAGGGGCGCCTGGGTGGCTCAGGTGGTTGAGAGTGGGACTCTTGGTTTTGGCCCAGGTCAAGATCTCGAGGTCTTTAGATCAAGCCCTGTGTGAGTTCCTCTCTCAGTGGGGAGTCTGCTTGGGATTCTCTCTCTCTCTCCCTCTACCCCCCCACCCTGCCTCTGCTTGCATGCACTCTCTCTACATATATAAAATAAATAAAAAATCTTTACAAAAAGAAAGAAGTCAGAGGAAAGGAAAAATATTTAACAAAAATTTTATGAAAGTCATATGAGCTTTGGAAATTTATTTATGAATAGTATTTACACAATGTTCTTTGTTCCAATTGAATATCACGTGTATTGTTTAATACACAGCATATTTACTCAATGACATGCATTTACATTTTATAAGAAAGTAAAAAAGGGTATAACTAGATGAACAAATTGTGAAACCATTACAGAAGTAATGAACTAAAACATTATTTAATATTTCTGAAGGAGATTAATTTTTAAATGGTCCCATATATATTTTTGTCTAGTTTTTAAAACTCTCCTGTTTTTATTTTCATTTTTTATTACACAGAATTCAGCTACTTACTCAAAGTCACTTGGAAATATTAAGGATTTAATGTAAATACATCTGGACTTTCTGTAACGTCATTATCCTCCTTGCTCTAAGAATCCTGGCTTGAGTAGAAAATGAGATAGAATTTAGTTTTAAATTGCCATTAATTTTTCTATTAATTACAAGTCATGCATTACATAGTATTCATACCATGAGAAGAGTGAGATTTTTGACTTTTCCCCGACTCACTGTTCCCTTCCCCTTTTCTTTGGCCCCAGGTGACCCAGCAAGTATGGGTATAATTTACGTCCCCTTGGATCCCAGCCTTGGTCACCTGGAAAAGCTGGCCATAAATGTTCAGTAGTGCTTTGTTCTTTTGTTTTCTTTTAACAAGTTTACTTTTTGTTAATCATATTACTAGATTTCCCTTTTTCTTAATTACTTTATTGAAGTAAAATTTACATATGAAATTCACCCATTCTAAGTATACAATCCAGTAATGTTTTAGGAAACTTAATGAGTTGCACACTTATCACCACAGAACAGTTTTTTTTTAACATTTCTATCACCCCCAAAAGATTTTATTTATAGTTAATCTCTGTTCCTGCTCTGAGCCCCAAGCAAACACTAATCTACTTTTTGCGTCTGTAGATTTGCTTTTTCTGGACATTTCAAACAAATAGAATTATGTATGTAGTCTTTATTTCTGGCTTTTTTCACTTAGCACAACGTTTTTGTTTATCCAAGTTGTAGCAGGGATCAGTACTACATTCATTTTTGTTACTGGGGAGTATTCCATTTGAATGGATGTATTACATATCTCTTTTTACCAAGCCAATTGATGGAACTTTGTGTTGTTGTCAATTTTTAGCTATTGTGAATAATGCTGCTATGAACATCCATGTGCAAAGCTTTGAGTGTTCATGTTTTCATTTCTCTTGGGGAGATATCTAGAAAAAAATTGTTAGGTCCCTTGGGAAATCACTTTTTAAGAAACTGCCAAACTGTTTTCCAAAAACTGTACCATTTTACGTTTCCACCAACATGTATGATGAGTGTTCCAGTCAGTCACTCCACATCCTCGCCAACATTTACTCTTGTCTGTTCTTTTTTTTAAGATTTTATTTATTTATTCATGAGAGACAGAGCAAGAGAGAAAGGCAGAGGGAGAAGCAGGCTCCCAAGGAGCAGGGAGCCCGATGCGGGACTCGATCCCAGGACCCTGAGATCATGACCTGAGCCGAAGGCAGAAGCTTAACCATCTGAGCCACCCAGGCGCCCTTGTCTGTTCTTTTAATCATAGCTCTTCTAGTGGGTATAAAATGTTATTTCATTGTGATTTTAATTTGCATCTCCCTAATGACTGACTTTGAGCATTTTTTCTTGTGCTTTGTAGCCACTCATTTATATATATTCTTTGATGAGATGTCTTTCAAATCTGTTGTTCATTTTTAAAAATTAGGTTGTTATTATATTGGTGATTTGTAAGAGTTGGTTGTATATTCAGTATACAAATCCTTTATCTGATGTGTGATTTCATAGTATTTTCTCCAGGTCTGTAGTTTGTCTTTTCATTTTCTTATGCTGTCTTTTGAAGAGCAAATTTTGAATTTCAGTGAAGTGCAATTTATCACTTTTTGCTTTTACGGCTCATTCTCGATGGTTTTTGAAAGGAAGAAAATTCAATAGTTATGTGGATAACAGGGGCATCTGATCGCCAAAGGCAAATGCTGCTTGGTTATTCTGAGTATTACCACACTGATGAGAAGAAAGGTGAAGGTGATATTTCATCCACTGTTCCCAGTACATCCTCTCCTTACCTGACCTCTGAAATGGAGCCATTGGCCTTGAAAAGCCTGGTGTCTAAAATTAATAGTCTTCCCCATCTGACTAAGAAGGCAACAGCTGAGCAACATGAGATCAAGGACCATATTAGTTTAAACAGGGGCTCAAAGTGGCATTTGAGAGAGAGGATACTTCCTTTCAGAGTGGACACTTGTCTTTTCAGAAGACTTATTCTGACTGAGAGTAAAGACCTTTACCAGAGAAGTGTGTAGTCATTTTGAGCTCTGTAAAACTTCCTTTTATCTGCTGGATATTATACTCTGCACTTGAAGGGGTCCGAACCCTAGGATGTCCTCCTATACATGGTAATTACTCTATTTTAAATAATTGTTATAACCTCTCACATCTCTTCTTTCTATGTTGCCTTAAATAACAGGTTGTACCAAACTCCAGGTAGAGCTTAACATTTATTATTTCTTTGCAAAATTATTATATCTTGGACCTGTTTTCTTTTTAATTTGTTAATTTTTATGTGGCTTCCTGATCCAGCATGAGTACCATCTGCAACTACATATTGTGTATAAGTCATAGTTTGCCTTAGAAATAGCCATGCATCTGCCTCCTTTTTTTAATAATGTTTTTTTTTTTTTTCAGGGCAATTTGAAAGACTGCTAGTATTGATCTATAATGTATCATAGTTCTAGAACTCTGGTTGGCATTACATTTCAGTGTATTTGAAGTAAGGTCTTTGTGTGGCTAAGAAGACTTTTGCAGAGCATTGGATTTTTAATAATTTGGAACTTAAGGTTTATATGAATTTTACTATCTGAGTTAAGAGAATGAAAAATGAAGTTTTGTGGACATAATTGCAGATGATTTTAAATTTGAGAAAAAGCTGGAAGCAGGGGCACCTGGGTGGCTCAGCTGGTTAAGCGACTGCCTTTGGCTCAGGTCATGATCCTGGAATCCCATGATCGAGTCCTGCATCAGGCTCCCTGCTCAGGGGGAAGTCTGATTCTCCCTCTGACCCTTCTGCCTCTCATGCTCTCTCTCTCTCTCTCTCAAATAAAAAAAATTTTTTTTTTTTTTTTTGGTGTGTGAGAGTAAGCTTTATTTCTACTCTCAAACTCTTACAACTTTGAATAAATGAAAAAAAAAAAAAAGCTGGAAACAATTTTCAGAAAATCTCCAGCAGGGGGCCTCAGCAGTCAGCGGTGGGAACCCGCCGCAAATTCCAATCAGTCTCTCTCTCCCCAAGCCCCCTTACCATCAAGCGTGTGGACATAAACTATGTGTAGATCTCTAGTATCAGAGCGGTATTATGTGTATTACTTAATTTGGAATAAAAGTATTCCAAAGAAAGCACAAGGATTTGCACTCGATACTTAGCAGTTAATGACAAATCGAAGAAAGCTATCTGGGTATTTTATCTGCGTGACAGCACTGTAAGGAAATTTCTTTTTTAGAATAAACACCAAACATTTCTGGTGTAGGCAGAGAAGTGCTCTGGAAATGGGCCATCTGGTGGAGATTACTCCCCATATGGGGACAAAATTCCCCTGGGGGAAGCATGAGAGACCCCCTCACACAGGAAAGAGCCCTTCCTACTGGGGATGGGAGGAGCAAAACCTGCAATCCCAATTAACTCCAACGAAATTTTATATTCTATATTTAAATTGGCCCCTTGATATACATCTCATTTTATGCACTGAGAGATACAGTCACCCAGGGAAACTGAAGGTTGCCTTTTACTGTTCACTTTTGTAGGACAAGTTGGGGGAAAAAATCCTTTTTTTCTTTCAAAGTTCCAGCATTTGAAACTTGATATTAACATTTCTTTTCCTAGTTTTGGGTCTTCTTTCCAGTTTAAGTAGAAGGGACTTCAAAATTCTCACTGGTCATTTTCTCCAGAAGTCAAATATGTGAGTAAGTGATGAGATCTTTGTTCCCCCTGCCCTTTTTTTTTTACAGTCAAGAGGAAGGCACGCTCAAAGCTCATGATTGCGTCTTAATTTACAAATCAGGGACAGAGGGAGATGAAAACCACACTCCAGACAGTAACTTAATCGGACTCACCACCAAGATGTTAAAAGTGAAGAGGCTGGAAGAAATCAACACATGTTATAACAGTAACAAACGGGAGGAAATGGCCTTCTTCCAGTGCATGGAAAAGGTTGAGAAAGTGAAATGTTTTCTGGAAGAAAGTTCCAGTGAACAGGAATCAAGATCTGGAAAGAATGAGGTAATTATGTGCTAATTTAGTCTTGTAAAAAGTATCAGTTCTACTTTATCTGTTCTTACATGAATCAGTAAATGTAACCATTTATCAGACTCGTCAAATTCTATTTTTGTCGCTTGTGTGAAGAATTACGGAATGTTTATGGATAAGACATTTTTCATTGTGTTTCACTGAGGATTACGTGTTGTAGATTATACAACCGAGTTTGGTAAGTAATTGAGTAATTTGGTAAGTAATTGAGGGGCTTTGAATGTGCATCTCTACCTCGTTGTGGTTAGTGGCTTAGACGTTATGAGAGGGAACTTCTGGAAACACACATTTCTTGAGCATTTACAAGGATGGGTGTGAAATTCAGAGAAGCACTATGAGGGGCACAATCGTTCTGCAGAAGAGTTTCTAATTTCCTCAAGACTTTGAGTTCCTCACAGTGTAGGTGACAAACCTGTTGGCAGTGACTGTCAGAGACGGGGACCAGCAAGCCTTCCCTGAAGGTTACGCCTGGGTCCTCAGTTGTGCGCAATGAAACCCTGAGCCTGATTCTGGCTACTTGATCTTTGGCAAGTTCCTAACCTCAGCCTAGATGCTGCCTCATCAGAATAATGGTTCGATGGCTGTTGAGGAATTTAAGTGTGATAATGTGTATAAAGCACTTAGCACAGTATCTGTTCACCATGGTAAACTGTCATCCAACAGCAGTCTTCTCTTCTCTCTTGACTTAGTCAGTCCCACTCACGGACCCATGGAAGTGCAGCTCCTGGCCCAGGGTTGGCCTCCCAGCATGTTGCTTGTGCCTTTCTTCTAGCATACACAATTGTTTCGAAGTCTGTCACCTTTCTCTCGATAGTGCTCTTCAAGGTCGAGACCTTGAATGACTTGTACTTGGACTCCCCTGGTAACCAGCACAGAAGAGGTCCCCAAAATGTCTGTGGAATGAACAGATCTGTAGAAGTGAATTCTGCATTCTGGTTGAAGGCTAGGAATGAGTATTTTTAAAGATCAGAGCAGGTGATTCTTACTAGGCAGGATTGGAAATATCCTTCTTTGTCCAACTACTCTTCTGAAGAGCACTATTCGGACAGGAAGGGCATTTCTAATGGTGCCCCGGACAATGAAGCAGGGCTGCTAAGTAACTGTCAGTGAGTATGGAATGATAAAACGTGCTGGAGAAAAGAAAGGAGTTGTGTTGAAACTTAGGTTTCTTGAGACCTCCACTTTCCCTATGAGTTAATATCTTGTTCAGTATACACCAAAAAGAAACTTCCACAGGTGAAATTGAAGTCACATATGAAGGACTTCCTCCTTAGGGCTATTAGGATGCAAATGAATAAACAGAAGGATTCCTTTTTCTGTTCATTAACTTCTCTAGGACAGAGAAGACAAAACAGTCTTCTTGGATAACTTTGAAATAACCAGCTACTGGTAATAGTTATATGAATTTGATTATTTTTCCAGGACTGTTTTTCTCCAGGTTCTGTGATATAATTTTTAGAAGTAGGAATTATCTTTGAAGAGGGAGATGGTGCTAAGCTGGAACAGGAACATTTTTAGGAAGAATTGTTTTCATGATAAACTGCACCAGAATATCAGAAATCAAATGATTTGGACATTCAATATTTTTGGATATTTTTGAGGGCAAGACTGAGAATGTTGCTCCTCAGAAACCCTAAGAGAGCACCCTTTGCACTTGGTCTGATGTCCCGCGTGTAACCTGGGCCTTCTGGCCTTGATCCTGCAGTCGATGCTGGGCGGAAGATGGAAAGGAGTGACTGGTAGCTCCCTATGTCCCATTCAGCTTCTTCTTTGTAAATGGCGAAGGGCCCAGAGATGTCAGCAATAAATTTCCCTGTCTCTCTCTCTCTGGCCCTCTGGAGGATGGATGGAACATGAAGGGGAGACACAGAGCTCTTCTTCTTTGTGTGGCTGCCAAGGTCACGGTACTGGAGGCCCTGGCTGGCCCAGTCAGTGGGTGCCAGGGTAGGCAGCGGGCCTTGGCCGCGGGTGGATGGAGAAGGGCATTCCAGTAGCTCAGATGTCAGCAGGTATGCAGACAGAGCTAGACTGACATGTCTCCATCTTCTGCTGGGGCCACAGTAAATCTTCACAATATCAGGCGTTATTCTCCAGGGACCGTCTAAAAAATGCTTGCCATAATTTGCCGTAAGTGGAGAAAACTTATTCTCCTTTTTCTTTTTAGTCCTCCTCTTTCTGAGAAGATTAGCATTGCTCATCACAGTAGAAAATGTCACTGTGGTGCATTGGCAATAATTTACTCTGAATTTCCGATACTCTAGTGATATGGAAGCTTTGTTTGGAAGGCGTGAAGTGCAATTTCTTTCTAGAAGAGTCTTTACTCCCTAGTCCAGGCTGGTAAAACTCAGGTTCTTTTCCTTTTCCTGCTCTTAACCAGGTTTTCTAATTTCACTTATTTTTCCCCCACTAGATTAATTTTAACTATCTTCTTTCTTTTCCTCTACTTTATTTTTTGTTGAATTTGTTAAATGCCACATATTCTACTTTTCTCCTGTGGTTTGTTCACTTTATTTTTCTACTTCCCTTTTTATTCTGTTTTTTTTTTTATTCTTATGTTTATTCTGGTTTTTTTTAATGACTTTTCTCATTGTCTTATATTCTAGAGGGTGTTCAAAATCACCTAAATAATGTAGAATTTTAAAAACTTTTAGCAGATGTGCCATAATAAACCAGGTCTAAGCCTACATAATGTGGTGTTGAAATAAAGTAAAACACAAAAAAATTAATCTGCTACATACGCGGGATGAGCTCACTAGCGATTGTGTATATACTGTTAACTCATAAATGGTAAATGACTCTCATAACTATAATTAGTATCATTTTTATAGAATCAAATCCAGGTTTTCTTCTTCGGTTAGTTCTCTGTTACCTATATAAATAGCCCCCTGGTATACTTCTCTTAGATATGATTTACTGTTTAACACACACACACACACACACGCACACACACATGCACACGCACTTTATTTGTTTAATAAAAGACAAAAGGGCCAGACAAGCAGAGTTTTACTCTTCCATTTGGTTCTGTCTGCCTCCCTTTGCCTGCTCCCACTTATGATACATATACCTACTTTTTATGCCCAAGGTTATCTATGTTCACCTCCTTGTCCTTTGCCCCCCACCCCCACCTTCCTGTAGAACCCTGGTTCCTGTCCTCCATCTGAAAGGCACGGTCCGAACCAGGGGAGTGAGGCAGAGCTGTGGGAGTAGAAACAAGGATGGCTCTAACAGAGGCAGAATGCTTAAGTGCCTGCTACAAATGCTCCAAGACCAAACAAAAAATATTTATCGACAGGATGTGAATAGCATAGAGTGGGTTGGAGCAAAGCGTGGATCTCCCTATTTTGATTGCAGTTGGTGCGCTTAATCGCAGATGGCATTTCCTGACTAACCACTGTGAAATTGTACCGCCAGTGGTGCTCACAGTGACTTACTTAGATATCAAAATATCATGGCTGAGGGTGGAGGCTTTGCAATTTTTAAAGTTGCATTTCCCTGCCCCCATCTCTTTGCTCCTTTGCTCCTAAGGGCAGGAGAAAGCTCCCTGGCGGTGGCCCAGCCAGCAAGGCAGATGCCAGTTTCTGTGGTGCTAATCGTCCTTGAACTGGGGACAAGCGCATTCAAGTTGGTGTCGTTTGTCACCAGCGGGTCTGTCTCTGTCCCTACACCTGTTTCAGATCTGTCACGCAGGCCGTCCTATTTTTCCTTTTAAAGAGGCAGATTATCTGTGGATCGTGTAGCTGGAAACACAAATTGCAGGACCCTGCAAGAACCCTCTGCCATGGGGCAGCGCCTACTCCTCAGAAGTGGGCATGTAACAAGCATGTGCTTGGAAACGTGCTTGTGCTAGATCAGGGGAGGGAAGGAGCGTATAAGCCAAGTGACTTCCATAGCCGCTCCCCGAGAATGGACTTAGCACTTAGAAGAAAAGACATCTGGATTGTAGGTAGCGTGTGCCTTATCTCGTCTTCCTTACTCTGGCGTGTGTTCCAGTCCATGATGACACGGGGAGGTCACAGACAGGCTCCTGCCCTGGAGGACACGCAGGTAGTAACATCACTTTTAATTAAGACAGATTCATTTTACTGTTCTATTTACTGTTCTATTTCCAACCAGGGAGTGGTGCTTGCCAAAGGAGACGGAATGCATGCCCCGTCTTAATCCTTGCCAGAGACTACCGCCTTAGGAGGGGTTGGGATAATAATAGTGGCATGTGGCTCCTTTCAACATTCCAAGCACTTGCACCAACTTTCGGGGAACCTCAAAGCAACCATTCTTGCTGCATGTTAAAGTCGGCGAGCTATTTTTGTTTTGAGAGCAAAATAGTGTCAACATCTCTCCATTCCCCTACTATGTATATGACTTAATTATGAAAGTAGAATGACACAAGAGTAAAACTTATGTCCCCCTTATCATGTCTATGGCGAAGGCAGCATCCGAAGAGCGGCCGCCTCCCCTGGGGGAGCCAGCTCGTCCAGCCTATATGCTCTTTCTTTGGAACCGTTGCCGGATCACGCCTTTCACGTGACACGGCAGCTATTCCAGGAATGGAATTCAGTCCGGAGAAGAGTCCAATTCCGAAAGAAGAGAAATAATTCAGATCCTAAGGATTTTAGCACTTCCCAAGAGAGGGTATTCGTGTCTGGGAAAACAGCTCTTTCTACAGATTTAATACTTTTATCTATTAGCGGAAGATACATTATTTTCAAGACAGTATAAAAACCGTTTGGAAGAGAGGACAGAAACCAGCCTGAATCCCAGGAAGGAGATAGGTAGCAGTGTCCCTCCACTTTGCTTTGTTGCCATCTACTCCCCTGCAGAGCTTTTAGGCTTTTCTCCCCCTGGTGAAACCCCTCCTGTGAAATCTTAACACCACAGATATACTGTATACCTGCTTACGTATTATAGGCATTATTTGTGCTTTATACATAAAAGGAATGCTTTTTTTTTTTACCCCTCCTAAAGAAACAATT